GTAAAGAAGGCTTTATTGAATGTCAATCATGCAGAAATATAGTTTTTTGTAAATAATACATTCTGTTTATGCATTATTTAGAAAGGAACGGACAGAAGAATGATAAGTATTTCAAAAATGACTATACATGCGGCCAGTTTTTTTGCATTCAAAAGCTTACAACAGCTCGAGGAATTAATCTCCTCATACGGAAAACAACCCATTATAAAGAAAAAATAAGCTATTTCGTATCCAGTCAAATGGAATCGTTTATCTGCAGGTAACTTAAGGAACTTGTCAAAAGTGTATAATTCCACTGTGACATTACCTGGAATAAAGTTAATATGCTCAAAAATTCATCAGCCGAATATGTAATCAAAGCACGTTTTAAAGAGGTAACCTTTAATGGAAAGCTTTTGTATAAATATTAGGAATAACAATATCAGAATTCCGTTACGGACATGATTTATTCTCGAAAATGTGGTTTGCTGTTTTGAGGTATTTCGAAATATGAGCAACATGGCCATCATCTTAAGAACTACTATCCAAAACACTTTCTTTCGGTAAATGCTTTTTATACATATCTCATTTTAAAGGTTTTGGTGTAAACATCGAACAGATGCGCAATTTATTAATTTGTCAATGAGGACACTGAAAACGAAGAAACTGGTGACAAACTTTTTTTCGAGATATTCAATGAATACTAATCCACTAATGGTAATAAGTACATAATATTTTGACCAAAGAAACGTTCTTTTTATATAAAGAAATTGATTCCATTCCGTTTTCAAATTAATAAACATATTTAAATTTATAATTCTAATTTATAGCAAATTTGCATCTCCGGGACTGGAGGTTTTATCAGAAAGATTTTATTTTTCTTAATAATCATTTAGTACTTCTTATCGCTCTTTTAAGTACTTAATATGCCTAATGCTGCTCATTAATATTTCTAAGTTTTCGTAAATCCTTTCTCGCTGGTATGCGAGAAATAAGCAAAAATTTACAAAATTAGGCAATTTGCTTGCAGCACTCGCCAAACTATATGTTGAGACACCAAAAGGTGGCATCTCAATCTTATATTTAATTTTATGAAGGGGACTAAGCGTTCGTGGTAAACTGAAGAGAACCCATTCACAACTATTACAAGCTTTATTCGTGGTTAGCCCAAAACAAAACGCGTATGACACCTTGGGACTCTGCGCTGAGACAGCAGAAGGTCAGACGAAGTCAGACAGCACAGCGATTTTCACATGCAGCCACGTTGGTGTTAACACGCAGGTTTAGGGTGATTTGTGCGTTTTGATTCAGTACACCTGTCCCTAGGCTGCTGTCGCTTGATGGTGACAAGGCGTGACTGCTCTCTCGGTCTGTTGTATTGATGTTTCTCGTCGGAACGCGATAAACTTTGCGAATTGCCAATTCCTAGTATTTACAAACATTGCCACCTTTGGAACATGTGCGTGCTATGTTAAGCTTATTAATATCATTTTATCTGACACTGGTGCTCACAAAGAGTCCGATGCGATTCTTGTCTGTTTTAAGACTCCGTGATTGCGAGGCTGCTAAGTCAAAGCGATTTATTGAGTAAATGATGTGCTACAGAACACACGCCTTATGTAGGGCTTGAAAAACTCGAAAACCTGCGAGAATTATCTAATAGCCAGCACACTCTTATTCCTGAAGCGTCAAAGATGGAGATGACACCCTTCCGGTAAAGAAAACGATTGTCCCCACTAAGTATAGGCCTAATGACAGCCACTAAAGGTATACATCTATCAAAACTAAAATTTATATTTGCCAGGCAAAATGTCCACCAACTACTACTAGCTTACCATACCCGTTTTGGCTTACGCGGGAGTGGTTTTTATTTCGGAAATTGCTATATAATTACTTACGTTAGAAGGCTGAGAGGACATATTTAAGTTGTTCTTGAAACAGGTGATAATCAGACTTGTTATTTTAAGTTAGTAAAATATACAGGTCAACGCATCTCGATTGCTGATACTCCTCAAAATTCGGATCATTCAGTTTGCTGCCTGCGACGGAATATGTTCTCCAAACACCGTTCGGGTAAAACCAAGAGACGATAAAGGCCGAATTAAATGGTGACGTAAAATTTCGTGAACACTGTATCTACTGCTGAGGTTTATTAAATTATAAAAATTTTATCCATAAAAATGTACACAGCCTTAGGGTATAAAATAGAAGTGTTTATCAAACAGCATTTTTATGAGACTTGACATATACACCAGGCATTTGACTAAGCTTCGTTGCGGCGGCCTGCAGAAAGCTACAAGCAGCAGACTTTTTGCTCATTGTTTACAACCACCGTATGAGTTCAATTCTTTCTTAAAACCAGACGCTTTGCTATTCTTTGCTTGGTAACCCATGCAACCTTTGTAAATCTCCAATAGAAGGTATTTTTGGTATTAATACGATTGAAATTATGACGTTTTTGAGGACCGTCCGGTGTCTGTACAAGTTAAGTCATTTCTTTCAGCAGATGAACCTACCTCATTAAGTGCACATACATTACGAAATTTTAGCGGGCTAAAGTGTGCTGTTTTTTGCCTCACGGGAATGCATGATGTTGCGTTAATTAAAACTGTAAATGAAGTCCAAGTTGGCGAACGTGCGCTTTCAGTTATCCATCATCAGGCATTTGTAATAATATAAGGAAGGTTTTTGAGTGTTGTGAACGTGCAGGGGTCAAGTGCTCTAATCTGGCCTATGTGAGGGGGAGGGAAGTGTCTATGGTTTCTTTTTCGTCGCTGTAGCATGATGTGATAGGGGCTGTGAAGACACATGTTGAGTTCGTATTCGGCCATGGGAGGCAAAGTGCCTATGCGCGCACAAAATCGTGTTTATTTAGCTCTATGGCAACCGATTCCGCCGTTGAAACTATACAATAACGCAGAAAGCTAGAGGCTTTCATCGGCTTTTTATAGATGATTCGGAATGCCTGGTTGACGTTTACTACTCTGTACACTGTCAGCAACGTGTGCCACGTATGCAATAGGGATGGATTTTCCCATTCTTTAGTCTAGTCAGGCAGGATAGTGCTCTCGCATTCGCCTAGTTGTTCGAACAATATAACCTGCTGCAAAGGGCCAAGTGAAGGCGTAGCTGCATGTTGAAGGGCGATGAAAGACCAGGCTATCTTCGCTTTCAAGGCGAAGAAGTGGACAGCTTGGGAACACTAATCGTCCCTTAGCAGCTAAATAAGTACAGGTGATAATAGCCGTTAAGCCGTTAAGTGGCAATTGGCTCTATGAAGCACCTCAAAGGTGCAGTAAGGGAGCGTACCACTTCTTCTCAGCCGTTGGACGTTCCGATATTGCGGGATGTTCCCTCAATATATCTACTGATACAGTAATTAGCCTTTTCGATATCTCGTAGTGTTTTGCACAAGTTTAAAATCCCCAGAGGTCATTTGTTGTTCCAAAAGAATGTATTATTGTCCTTAAAGTGAAAGTATACTGCTAATCCGTTAACGACTGGCAACTGTGCGGATATTTCAAAATTTACGTATTCAGAAGAAAACGTGGATTCGATGCCCGGCTCATGCTTAACCTGGAATTGAGTATGACTGACTGAATGACTGGCTAATAAGCACGAAACTAATATTTATGTCCTCTATGTCTTTATCGGCAACGTATTTCTGCCTA